AACTGCCTTAACCTAGAGATAGGAGAGAAGCCCTAGTCCCTATTTCAAATGATCTGTCAGATCTACATGACCCCAACTGGATGGCATTGCCCTACATGTGGAATTGGGGTGGGGGGATGGGAGGGGAGGGTGGTTAGGGTGCATTGAGAGGGCAGAGAGGGTAAAAGTGAGCGAGGGAAGGAGGAAGGGAGGGAGGGAGGAAGAGAGGGAGAGGGAACTGGGATCAACATGAAAAATAATAAATTTTAAAAAATGTAAAAAAAAAGAAATGTATTTAAAAGATTTTCAAAATGAATGGAGACTGTAGCCAATGAGTAGAAACTTACTCCATGCCCATCCCCTTTGTCTTCAGCTTCTAGTAAGTCTTCAACCAGGAAAACAAATATTTGTTGAATGGAACTGGTATAATATTCAAATGGTTGAAGTCTTGTTATTTTTCCTTAAACTCTTATCTATCATTCCAAGATGAGGAGAATGTTCAGATTATGTTGATATAAGAAAAAATGTGGGGTTAATATTAGAATAATAATGTTTGGAAAATAAAAACCAATGAGACTTCCCCATGGTGCCAGTGCCATATGTTTGGCACCTATCAAGACATGAAACAAAACACACTCATGTAAATTAAAATAAATAATCCCACCATCTGGAAGCCTCCTTTTGTCTTGGCGTTGAAAGAAAGTGGAGGAGATATAAAATTTCCAGAGAGATCCAAAAGTGACAGAATGACGTGAGCTACTCTTCACTATGCAATACAGCCTTGTTTATAAAAGGAAAAGTGCTTCCTTCATATGAAGGGCAGACTGGAGGTTCTGAGAATTCAGAGAATGGATCACAAGTTCGGTCACCTTGCATAGCAGCCCATTCACATTCTGTGACTCTACGTTCAACATCTTGTGACCATCAGATTGAACACATTCTAATTAGGAAAGCAGACATTAATACAACAGTGGCAGAATGCTCAGGCACTCTAAGCAGATTCTGGTTGCTCTGGATATTGATTTTAAATTATAAAATCATTAATAACTTGCACCACACATCTAACTTCATTGAACATCTCCTAAAGGATCTGGAGAAATCGGAAGTCAGTGGCAACCTTTACACAATATTTTGAAGGGATGACTACACTGTGACTAACCTGTATGACAGAATCAACTAACTATCCTACAATCCATCCACACTCAGTTGGCTTATTTTTCGTCATATACTTAAAATTCTTGCTTCAAGCAAGGGATAAGTTCAGTTTTGTGAAACTCTTAGCTTCTAGCAATAGAAGATATATTTGTAATTTTCCCTTAATTCTAATGGTTATTATGACTGTCTGGTCTGTCCAACATTGAATCAAATAATAATTCATTATTAAGCCTGTGGCAGCCACAGATATCTTCTAACCACCAAGCTTTTTTTTTTTTTAGGCAAACACTGTCCAGGAATTCTGTCAATGATTAAGGGACTCTGGGGCATGATGTAGTCCTTATGTGATGTTTCAGGATTCTCAGCCTAATTACAGTATGAATCAAATACATCTAAATCATCATACATTGTGTTATATAGTATAGTAAAATATATGAATAGCATTCAGCATTTATTAATCATTCCTTAGACATCTTTGTGGTACTAACATTAACATGTCCACAAAACTTCATGTTCCCTTCCAATCAGAATTAGTTACTGCCAGACTGTAGCCACCCATAGAGATGATATTTTTTCCCATCTGTATTCCAGTACCAGGAAGATGGTGTCAGCCAATAAAATGTGGACATCATAAAATGCTACATTTATACATGAATACCAAAACTTTGTATTTCTTAATTGTCTCACCCATGTCACCACCACCACCTGGCTGGGCTCTTGAATGACAACGTGGAACAGTCTATCCACCCATGTCATTGGTAAGTTTTTGAAGTGCCTGCTTTAAGTGATAAACTCCCTGGTCACAAGAGTTTTTCAATGGTCAGCTGCCTCTATGTGTTTCTGCAGCATGGTCTTGTCCTCTTTCCCTGCATCTGGATTCTAGTTCGACTCTGTGTTTAGTTGTGGGTGTTTGCTTCTGTTTCCAACAGGTACTAGATGAGGGCTCCATGATGGTGGATAAGTTAGTTGTTGATCTCACTATCCGGGAAGGGCATTTATGGTAGCCTTTCCACTGTTGCTCAAATTGTTAGCTGGAGTCAGTCTTGTAGGTCTCTAGAACTTTCTTTAGGTTCAGTTTTCTCTTCATGCCAATCATGGCTCCCTCTTTTATGTTCTCTCTCTCTCTCTCTCTCTCTCTCTCTCTCTCTCTCTCTCTCTCTCTCTCTCTTCCCCCCTCTCTTTCCCCTGTTTTATATTCCTACCTTGACTCAATCTTTCTAGTCACACATGCTTTCCTCTCCTTCCCTTCTCTTTCTCCTAGTTCCCTCTCCATTCACTGCCCCCCCCCACTTCCCATGTGCTCTGGAGAACTTGTCCCTTACCCCTTCTGTGAGGGACCTTATATGAATCTCTTAGAATACACCTTGTATCCTAGTTCCTCTGGAGGTGTGAATTGTAGGCTGGTGATTCTTTGCTCTAAGTCTAAAATCCATAAATATGTGTGTTTTTTAAAGTAATATTAGGAAGAAAATAGGTGACATTTTTCTGGAGGAAGTTGCTTTGGTGCATAGGCTCAACCTGAAGACAATTTTATTTCATGAAGACATTTTGTTCCAGCCCTAATTGGAGGAGTACCTAACAAAGGAACATTTTTTTTTATTTATTTTTTTATTTAATTTTATATAACAAAGTCCAATTAAATGAAAACAAACATTTATACACAATATTTGGGAATTTGGGCGTCGTTCTTTCCAAACTACTTCCTGCTGGTAAGGGGCGCTGTCTTGGGGGATTCGAACTAACAAAGGAACATTAAACAGATTTTGAATACTGACTCTGCTAGGCATTGTCCTTGGATCTAAAGTTATATAACAGCAAATAAGCAACTGTATTGCTTGACTGTGAAGTTTCTAAGGGGTGTTTTGTTTTGTTGTAGGTTTTTTTTTTTTTAACTATGTGTTCCCTACAGTCTAATATATGCCTCCAAATCTTTATGGTATTAACATAAGTGTATTAAAATGTGGGTTCTTAGTGCTAGTTGCAGGATACCTGCTTTAAATTCTTGGTCAAAGAGGTCCCAAAGATGTCCCAAAAATAACACAGAACCTTGGTTGACCATGTGAACCTGAGAATAACATCCTGTTGCTGAAGACAACATACACATTGGTCATAGAACATGGGGAAATAAGCTTATATCCACTTGTGAGCATCTTCCTTACTGGCTAGCTGTTGTGCTAGAAGATGTTGTACAGGCTGCTGGGATGTGGTGAACTCTTAACTGTTTTGGTTTAAACGCAGGGAAGATAGCTTCATAGGAACAAATGCATTGCTGTCACATTAAGGAAGTAAATCTCAAAACTTCCTCTTGGACTACAATGACCAAGAGTGAACTTATGTTTAAATTTTCCACTTCTCTTACTGTGTCTCCGGTCTGCACTTTTCAGTTGTTGGCCTATCTGTAATCTGCCTGGTGTATAATTAATCTGACTTTGTCCCTGTTTCCGTCTGTGTAAAGATGCCTTTCTGATGTCTGACTATCATTAACAAAGGGCCTCGCCCTGTATTTATTGAATAGCACAAAAAATGTCACATGAAGGAAGAGTAAGGGATTCTTTACAGAAATCTTCAACCAAATCTTTGGGATTAAGTTACTTTCATGACTTCAAGTGACTTGCAGTCATAAGTATAGTACTGCAAACATACCAAGTTATATCTGTATGTTGTTTCACACAATTGTTGTGGATATTTGTCATACATGCTGTTTTCAACCTGTTGGATGCTTTCAACAAATTGCTACCATAACACACTCTGAATCAGGGCATGTTAGAGTATATCATTTAAGATTAAACCTATGCATTAACCTAAGCTGTAAAAGCTGATGATGTGAGAAAGCTAAGGAAAGTCAGGGTGTTTTTTGTTTGTTTTGTTTTGTTTTAAAGCAAGTTAAATAAGCAGGCTAAGTATACAATAGGATGTCAGGCTAAGTCTTAATTTATCTCAATGTGATTTATTAATTTGACTATGAGGTCCACCAAAATCTCTAGTCTCTTGGAATGTAAAGGTGATTTTTATAAACCTGTATCACTACAATCAACAACCATTTTCATCTGTTAACTCTACAATAACTAGCAACGTGACAAAATAGGCCCACTGGTACAATGGTGGCACAAATGTTATATGAATAACCAATTATATTCTTATTGTGTTTAAGCCTTACTACAGGAGTCAAAACCCATAACCAGCATCATTTTCTGGGTTAAGAACCTGTGTTCAGATAAATTGCAGGCTCTAGGAGAGAGCATCATACTACATTGTTTCTAAATGGCCTTACTAACAAATTGTCCTCTAAATATTTATCTTCACACCCACAGATTATAATGACTCCAAACGTTCATCTCTTCATGCCAGATAACAAAGCTACATCTGGGGGTAGGGAATTTTAGTTGAGAAAATGCCTCCTGAGGACAAGTCTGTGGCACATTTTCTTGATTGACAAATGTTGTGTGCGGGTTCTGTTAATTATGCATGGGGCCACCCAAGAGCTGATGGTCCTAGGAACTATTAGAAGACTGGTTGAGCAAGCCACAAGGAGCAAGCCAGTAAACAGCTTTACTCCATGGCCTCCAGGTTCCAGCCTTGCCTTCACTGGATAATGCACTTATAAACTGTTAGGTGAAATAAATTCTTTCCTCCCCAAGTTGTTTTGGTTATGGAGTTTCATCACAGCAATATCCTAACTATGAAAACATTACTGAGAATAAGAGACTTGAAATTTTCAGCCTTAAATGGAACATTTATAACCCCCATCCCCAAAGCTCAAGGATCATCTTCTAAAATGGGGAGCAAAGATTGGAAAACTGAGAGGTTACATGGACCTGCTAAAAACAAAACAAACAAACAAAATGTTTTCAAGATATAACAAGCTGCCAACTTGGAAACCCCAGGAAGTCACTCTCCCCTGGCTCTATCCATGTGGCATAGGGGAGGGAGAACAGGGCCCTGCCCTGTGATGTACATTCCCTTTCCAAGATGTTGGAAATAAAGCTGGACTTCGAGTCTGTGCCTGCATATTCCCACAACATCTCAGAGTTTTAGTGACTCCCAGAGCTCAGTTGCCTTCAGGAGATCTTTCTCAGACCCCTTCTTCCCAGAGGATACACGGGGTAAACAAGAGTCCAGTTTGGAATCTTAGGTACTGTAAGCTGTCTGTAAGTTATACTGGGATTCTGCAGTGGTAAAACTGTCAAAAATTTGTTCAAGGGACTTTGAGCCACTCACACTCTGGTAAACATGGTTCACCGCAATGGAATTGGATGGGTTCCTTTGTTTAATCTGTTGGTGCTCTTCTCAACTGGAGTGGACAGACAATTCTTTATTTTTCTATAAATAATTATGAACAGAGAGTTCTGTGGCTCATTCAGAAGGTATTTGTTGATGGTTAATTCACATGAAGCTCTTGGTTCTTAGGATTTTTGTCTTCAACATCTCCTAGGACCACAAGATCTTCAGCCAACCAGAACTATGAGCAGCCTCATTTTGAAAAACAACCCTCTGATATTTTTAATCAGACTCAGGGAAACAATTCAGAAATATAAAGATGGTCCCATTGTCCCCTATGCATGCATCAATAGATATGACAGTCTACCAAATGTGAGGATTTGCCTTCACTGTTTAATAATAAGACCTTGGTTTTAAATTGGAAAACATTCTAAAATTAAGAGAATGTAAGACATAGCAGAAAAAAGTGGGGTGCCACTACTAAACAAAAGGATTGTATTGTAGTCCTGATGTCTCTATTCTGCCTCATATAGCCCAATGCCATTCCTTTTGTGAGTTCCCCTTTCAGCCTTCAATGTAAGTAAGCATAGCGTGCATGAAAATCAAACTGAGAACAGGTATACAACCTGTATGAGTCGTGTATTCTTTTCTTTTTTGATAATTTTTTTAATTTAAATTTTAAACAAGCTTGTTTTATATGTCAATCCCAGTTCCTGTCCCCCTTTTTCACCTGTTCCCCCCACTAGCCCCATTCCATCCCCTTTCTGCTCTCCAGGAAGGGTGAGACCTTCCATGAGGAGTCTTCAAAGTCTGTCATATCATTTGAAACAGGGCCAAGGCTCTCGCCTATGTGTCTAGGCTGAGAGACTATCCCTCTATGTGGAATGGGCTCCCAAAGTCCATTTGTATAAATACAGATCCATTGCCAGAGGCCCCATGGACTGCCTAGTCCTCCTAACACCCACATTCAGGGGGTCTGGGTTGGTCCTATGCTGGTTTCCCAGCTATCAGACTAGAGTCCATGAGCTCTGACTTGTTTAGGTCAGCTGTTTTTGTGGGTTTCTCCAGCTTGATCTTGTCTTGACCCCTTTGCTCATCATTCCTCCCTCTCTGAAACTGGATTCCAAGAGTTGGGCTCAGTGTTTAGCTGTGGTGTCTGTTTCTGCTTCCATCGGCTACTAGATGAAGACTCTAGGATGGCATATAAGGTAGTCATCAATCTCATTATCAGGGAAGGGCATTTAAGGTAGCCTCTCTACTATTGCTTAGATTGTTATATCTAAGATCTTTGTAGATCTCTGGACATTTCCCTAGTGCCAATTTCTCTTAATGAGCCATGTATTATAGCAATGTCAGTAAGAACAGACATGACTCTAATAAGTAAGGGAAAGACCTTTTCACCTGAAGTGGAATATATGTAAGAAAAAAAAATGATCAATGAAGCCCACACTCATATTGATAAATGAAAGGGAACAAAAAGATTTGGAGCCGTTTTATAAGAAATATTGTATGTTTTGTGTGTATTTTATAATCAAAGAAAGCTACTGAATTTTTTATTATAAACATATGCAAAACTTCAAACCATTACATGGGCTAAAGATGACTCATTATATTTGGGTCTTCAGTGCAAGTGTAACTATTGATATCCTATAACTAATGATGGTCAAATTTTTTGGATTTAGGAGCATAACTGCCCCTTCTTATTGACATACTCTCTCATATTTATTCTTCTTATCTTAAAATATTTTTAAAATCCTATTTTTATATTACATTTAAGCATGCAACTTGCTATAGAGTCCCACAAGAATATTCTAATATTCTATTTCATTGTTTTAAAATTGACACCACAGAGTTATATTTTTGTCCTTCATACATATTCTTAAAAGAAAATCCAAATCCCTGATTAAGTCCATGAAAAGAATGTCTATATTAGTTTGTTGAGTTACTGGTATTAGTCAAATGACCAATGGCAGAACTGTTGAACCCTCGAGTAACAAGGCTAAGTAATGATGTCACACGTGATGTTTCTGTTCTCTGATGCACATCTTTCCCTTAAAGTAAAACTCTCTCCTCAATGTAGCTCTTCAATATTCTTAGAGTCTTGTCTCAGCCTAACTACAAGATGCAAAGGGCAATATTCTCTCTCTCTCCTTTCTTTCCTCCCTCCCTCCCTCTGCCTCTCCATCTCCTTCTCTTAAACCATATAAACTACTGAAATATATAAACTAGGTCACCAAATAAGTTAAAGATATAAGTTAATATTTTGTATATAAAATCTGAGATCACATCAAAACTTAGGGATGTGAAAGACAAGAATGAGAAAACACAAACATGAGCATTTCTTATCTTATACATAGGAATAAAATGTATTCAATTTTATTTTAATAATAATAAAAAAATTCAGTTTCATTTTGTAATTTGCAGGTAGCTGGCAGTAGAGTACATAAATAAAGGAAATAACTTCCATATGACTGGGGGAAATCAAATAAAATTTTGACCTATAGAAGGAGTATGTAACACAAGATAAAAATCGAATGAAATGATGGTAGCTAACTTATGATAGTAAACAAATATATTAAAGCCATACATTAAAAGAGCAACACTTTCATGGTCACAAAACCCAACCTTTCCCACAGTTTGTGTTCAATAAACTTTCATTGACTATGTGAGTGAATGCACAGCTGACTGTTTCTTTCCATCAGGTATACTTAAAATCAAGTCATTAAACTTAAAGGTATATCAGACAAGGAGAACAACAACAAAAAAAGAAAAAAAGAAACCAGAAAATCTGAATGTCATCATCATTATCAGACCAGGCAGAATTATACAGTGGTAAACAATACAGAAGGGTAAGGCAATGTGCCTACTGTGCAAGAATGACAGAATGTGGAAATAAATGAAGCGAAACTTTTCAAATCAGCAAACAAGAAAGAGTAAAGTACAGCCCATCTTATTTGATTCCACTGAAGCAACACATGCACAGCTGTCAATCACTCCATTAATGGTCCTTTGTAAGACCATCATGACTGGCAATCTTCTGGGGATATTGATAGGGATAGACAGAGAAACAGACAGACAGACAGACAGAATCATGGCAGAAACAGATTCAGAAAAGACAGGAGGAGAAAAACAGAACATGAACTGTTAAATCAGATGAAAGAGTAAAAACTACATAATTCAAAGAAAGAAAATGGATTACAGTAGAAAACTATGAACAATATAGTAGATGACTGGTTTGAGGGCAAAAGAAACCAACAAACCTGCCTTAAGAAGTTAAACAGAAAACCTAAGTAAGACGGAAAAAAGACATTGAATCATTATTTTAAGCCTTCTTATAAGAAAATATTGGCCAAAAATTTAATAATGGGGTTTTTACCCAAACATATAAAGAAAATTAACAATAAGAAACAGCCTGATTTTAAAAATGTCCATAGATCTTCTGGAATATTTCACCAATACAGGAGGCATATATATGTATATACACATATATATGCCCATTTTTTTTAGTCACATCTGGGAACACACATTGAAACAACACAAGATACCACTACACACCTATTAGAATAGCTGGCCCTAAATGGTGTGTCATGAACTGCTAGCGAGCAAGGGGAGCAGTTGCTGGGAAATCAGTATGGGGCAACTACTTCAGGGGAAGTTAGCCTAGTCCTTAAAACAAAGAAAACTCTTCTCACAAGGTCCAGAAACCATGCTATGTGCAGTTTACAAACTTAACTGGTAAACTCACATCCACAGCAAAACCTGTACATGCACTTACGTTTATAGCAACTTTATTTGTGATTGCTGAAATTTAGATCTAATGAAGACAGCCTTCAGAAGGTAAGCACAAACTTCAGGCCAGTGGTTCTCAACCTGTGAGTCATGAGCACGTTGGCAAACCTGTATCTACAAAAATATTTATATTACAATTCATAACAGTAGCAAAATTACAGTCATTCAGTAGCAGCAAAAATAGAGGAAGTGTTATGTAAGGGTCACAGCATTAGGAAGGTTCAATACCACTGCTGTAGGCCATCCAGATATTGAAAGGAAATGAGCTAGTATGACATAAAAAACATGGAGAAAATGGAATATTGCCTAAAGCATAAAAGTAAGAAAGCATATATTTCATAGAGCTATGATGATGATAACCAGGGAAAAAAGTATTTGTAAATAAAACAGTTAAACCTTATATCCCTTTGGGTTTTATAAAAGAAAATAGCTATATTAAGTGGTACATTTTGATTTGTTTCCACGTATGTATGTCTACTTGAAATTTAACTGTTTGGCTTTCTTCTTTTAAAGAGGTTTTGTCACATAGCTCCAGCTTGTCTTGGGCTTGTAATTTGCTTGCTTCAGCTCCCAAAGTGCTAATATTATTGTACTTGCCACTAGATTCAGCTTGCTTGGAGAAATGTATGTGATGAACATTAATGACATTAGAAAATAATAGCTAAAACAGTATGTTGAAGTGAAATTATAGTTTCTAACACAATATTCTACTATGACATAAGACTATGAGACATCATGGATGTTATCCCAACAAAGCCCTTGAAAGCTAACCAGTCATCAACTACTTATCATTCTATTGAATAATGATACTGTAAAAGATAAGGCTTTTAAGAAGCTTGTCTGAATCAGTGGTCTGCATCTATACAACTGCTCTTACATAAATCCCCCTAGGCAACAAATGTTCTTAAACACTACTATGGTCTTTTTTTATGGTTTAACACTGACTTTGTTTCATTTTATAGGAATTTTTACCTACAGTCTGAATAAATGGCACTGAATGCTGCAAGAAGGTACATCCAGAAATGAAATCTAAATAGCTTGAGACCTCTCACCATCATCTTAAT